TCGTCCAAAAGCACAATTAGAGTAACCCCTCTGGTATTTTCGTGTTATTTTATGTAAAACAAGTATTTCTATCGACTTACCAATGTTGGGGCTTCAGACAATTCGTTAACGGTATCAATTTGATGATTGTTCTCAGCCATAATTTCCACCTGCATCAATCACGCGGTACTAACTCATCGGGGCGTATCGAAACAAAAACGCCCTGCAAAACCGTTAATTTGAATTTCAAATCTACCCTGTCTTTGGAAAATCAATGATTGTGAGTCTCACGCTACACATTTTTTCTTCAAACTTGTTCCATTAACTCTCTTGATGCCATAATAGGTTTCAAAACAGACGTCTCAGTGCCGCATTATTTTTAGATCGGACAGCTTTTTGATATATTTTGCACTTCCATTATGGAAACCTGGATATAAGACTTAATCCTGAACCAAACGCAATGAAACTTATCATGGGTCATGAAAATAACAAAGGCTTGAAGATACATGTATAACATTAAGTGATGGCGTTGTTGGTTGCCATAGTAACCATATTCACCTTGGAATATTTAATAACAAGAAAATATTCAAATATCTGAATTCAGAGACAATGGTTTTGTATTAGCAATATCAGCACATCACATAAATTACATGTCCTTTTTTCAGTTGTTTCATGTCAGAATTATTTCTTATTCAGAATAAAACATTCTAAATTAAATAAAGCATAGGGTTGTATCCAGATGTTTATATATAATGTCTTAATGTCATGATAAGATTTCAAATAAAGATGTCTATTTGACACATTATCTTTTAAATATAACATTTTGCAAAAAAATTGTAACTGTATTGTTGAAATACAAATATTTCATTCAGTTGATAATGAGTTGTTGTGAAACTTGCCATGGGTCATCATGATGACATTATCTTCAAAGTTCATAAAAACGTTAGTCCTATCTGTTACTATGGTAACCATATTAAATCTCAGGTACAAAACATCAGGTAAAAAAACAAAAATACCCCATTTCAAAGAATCGCAATTACCCATTCTGCATTATTTAGCCTATAGTGGGGGGAATTTACCCCTATATTAGGCAGAATATTTCAGATGGTGATACAAGTATAAACTTTGGCTTTTCTGCTTCTTAAAACCTTTTTCAAAAAATCTGTCCCTGTGATCGACGGAATATTTCACTTCTTCCCCCCAAAATCCAAGATGGCCGACAAAGTATGAATTAAATAACATGTAGGGTGGGCAAAAAAAATTTTGGGGGAAAATTCATGCTCTCATGGTGAAATGTTGTTCTTTAAGATGAAAATAGTCATGTGAATTTTTTTCAAATTTTTAAACTGAATTTTAGCCCTCTCCCATAGCCCCAAAGTGTGACGATTTGGCGTAAAATGGGAAATAATGTTCATTTTCTAGGTTCAAATAAAGAATGCAATGACAAATAACATTAATTATTATTTAAAAAACATCTAATAACTTTGCCTGATACTACAATATGAAGGTTTCAATTATTGAAAAATTGAAAGTATTTTTTAAAAAGCGTTGAAAGTGCCCTACCCCATAATTTGGAAAAAGGAAGTTGTGGTCAATTTTATCATTCTGTAGGATTAAGTTAGAAACGTGTATCAACAGAAAACAAATAAGTACATTCAGACCATCTTCAAAGGTAACTGGATATTATAATATTATTATCATAACTATATAGGAGACAACATATTTTATATATGTGTATGATTATATGTTTATGTAGTACATGTATCACTATGTAATGTAATGTAATCATAAAATAGAGAGGTTGCTATGATTTCATCAGAGTATGATAAGACATGTTTATCTCTATGTTTAGACCTGTAGTATACAACATACACACATAACACATAAAACTGTTATGAACTCAAGTCAAAATAAATAATTAGGAGTTAAGCAAGGTTCATTCCTGACAACCTTCTTATTTTGAATACTCACAAATTGGTACAATGGATACTCTATTTAATATAATGAATTTAACATCATTGGTACTGCTGTTCTATAATTAAGAAAATACATTCACTAATTTACAACAAAATCAGTTTTTAAGTCATTATTACATAGGAGCCTTTAAGGTTCACTTTTGACACCCTTCCAAATGCACTAATTTACAACAAAATCAATTTGTGTAAATTGCCAAAACAACTGAAGTTGCCAAAACAACTGAACATTGAGTACTGAGTGAGTTTTATAGATTTATCAATGTATTTACCATGTTTTACAACTACAACACCATTACTTTGACACCAGCAAGAAAATAATTGCAGAGTTTTGATGTTAGTTTAAACAATAGAGTATCATTGCTTGTGGCACTGTTGTCTTTCAGGTTTTGTTGTGATTAGCAGCGTTAGTCCTTTTTGTCAGTTTAATTTTCATTTTTCTGCTTCTACCCCTAAAGCTGCATACAAACTCAGAGAGGTTGGAAAACAGGTTGATCAAACCTCACTCAGTTATTCAGCCAGCTCTGCACAATGCAGCCATAGTCTAAGAGAGCCTTGTTCCACTCTGTTGCTGTAACTCTAGCAGAATATAACAGCCAGGAAAGGGACTATCATATTGTTCTGATGTGATGACAATCAAGTCATTTGGGCAATAAAGGAGTCTCATTGTAATAGTCATTACAATTAGTCACCTTCCAATCTGTTGCCTGAATCACATATGTTGCTTTAGGACTCTTTAGGCAGTTTGAAGTACTTGTGACAATTGGGTCAATATGTTGGATGTTCTATTAGGCCGTCCTGCCTTGCTTAGTTGGTTGGGTAAGTTTTTTGTCATTTAGTGTTCTAAAAGGAAATGACAGGGAGCTTCCAGGAGACTGCAACATTTGATATGATTCCCAGGTTACTAGGTTTTTTAGTTCAGTGAAAATACGCAGAATGGCTATTTCAGTGTCATTTACTAGAGTGACCCCATCAATCCTTAAAAATGTGATACTTGTATGTTGGATGTGGGTTACCATTTCTCATTTTAAATTCATTGCACTCCTTGTGGCTCCTTTCAGAAGGATGTTCATAGCTGCCATGAATAGTAATATGCAACCTGCCATGATTCCCTTCTCTAAAGGCTGCCAACCAGTGGTGATTGTTTCAGTCAAGAATCTCAACTGAATACCTTCAAGGTGCTCTATCTCAAGGCCAATCACATGTTGAGGAACATTATAATGCTTCAAAGCTGTTAGAGAGTTCATTTGTGTGGTACACTGCTGCCTTGGTTATATCAAGCCATACATTTGGCAAGTTGGTTTTGTGTTGCTTTGTTTCTGCTATTAGCTGTGTTATAGCTGCAACATCACATGGCCTTTACTGTTGACCTCACTGTAGACAACTCGAAACTGGGCTCTAAACCCCGCAAGTCTCTAGACATATTTAGTTTGCTTTTGTAAAAAATCTGTACTTAAATGTACAGTATTGTGCAATTCCACATGTAATTCTGTATAAGTGATAAGTTCTTGTCTACCTGCCCTTATTTCATCATACTATTAAGAGATTGTGATAATAATGGACTAAGGTAGAACCTTGGAAGACTACTTCAATGTTTGCATTGATACTTGGTTGACAGTATTCTCATTCAAACTTGAAATATATTCTTGAATTATGTCTTAGATATTAAATATATTAGAGAATGTTATAAAGTAACTCAAGTTCTAACAGAGAAGGCCAAAATAGAACCTTGAAGAACTCCTATAAAACTATTTTTGCCAAAATTCAAATCAAAGAAGATCATGGCATTTCTAAATATATTTGCATGTCGTAGTACTGAGTGAACCTATTTTTTAACCATATTATCTCTATGTATTAATCTAAGGTGTCATTTTTACCGAATTATGTACATATTTCGACAACCTTAAATTTTTTACTGAATTAGTATTAGGTTTGGCTGATTTGAGGGATGGAATTTTTGTTATTTGCATAAATAACTGACTAGCCCATAAATTTGCATGTATCGCACGCGCAATTTTGAATATTTTCCACCGAATTCCAAGAGATTGTGATAATAATGGAGTGTAGTAGAGCCTTGTGGGACTCCTTCAAAGTCTCCTTGGTACTTGTAAGACAGTGTTTTCATGTAAACTTGAAATATTAGATTGAATTATGTGTGAACTATCAACATTATTCAAGAAAACAAGTTTAATCATTAAAGTTGTTGCAAAATAAGAGTGCTCCCAAAATAGAACCTTGTAGAATCCCTATATAAAGTCATTTTGCCCAAATTCAGCTCATTAATGAATGTAACTGTATTTCTAGATAGAATGTACATGCTTTACTACTGAATCACTATAATTTTAAACCATATTTATCTCTATATATGAATCTAGAGTGTCATTTGTATCGAATTACACATATACGGCAGCCATCTTGAATTTTTTCCTGAAATAGTGTTCAGTTTGATCGATCACAGGGACAGAATTTTTCCAAATAGTTTAAAAAACAGATTAAGCCAATAAATTTGCTTGTATCACCATTTGAAATATTTTCCACTAAATTCCCCCCACTACTAGTCTATGCTAAATCAAGGATGATTAATGAATCAGCAATTAATCGTACTTACTCTTTTATGAGCTTGTATTTGTATTTTATTTTCAGAAAATATAAAACAATAATAAGGATGTGTACAGTAGTAAGATTATATAATCATGGGCCACCCTATAAATGAAACATGTTCAACTTTCTGTATTTTGATTACTGGAGTTCACCTCTGAATGATATCTTGGGAAGCATCTTCCAATACAAAGAACAATGCACCAGTTTAATTGTTGATTTGTAAAGATGCTATGTTGAGCATCAATATTATATGTTGCCATTTATGTTTGTGCAAATAAATAAGCATGAATGATGTTGTAATATTAACTACAGATCCAGAATGCCTTCCTTGTGCCAGATAATAGTGTTTTACATTGAACAATACAATGTAAAACATTTTTACTGGCATAGCACACTTCTTTTCTCCAGACTGATTATAAGGAGGCCTATAAACTGCAACAACAATCTTTTATTTTCACATTCACTTTAAACTTCAGGCTCATTAGGTTATGTACAGAACCAGGTATCTTGTCAATTAAATGATGTTCCTTCAATCTCCTTTCAAAGGCATTATGCCTTGGTTTCCAAATAAATTTCTTTGTTCTTGTGTCATCTGTAAATCAAGTTTATTTCCATAATGGTAACTCAATCCAGGAATCTGTACCATTCATCTTTGCTGTTGACTGAAAAACAACAAACGAATTGGAATGTAAATTATATGCACTTCATGCAATTACATGTATGACTATTTGTACTGGTTTTGGGATGATTTCATCAAACAACAGAACAACAGGGTGAGCCAAAAATGCCACTTTTACAAAAAATGCTATAACTTTTTTATTACCCAGCCTGCATACACACAACTTTGCAATTATATAGAGCCAGTGGTCCTGATTAATAAAGTAGGCTAATGGAATGAGTACATTTTTTGATGATAGTTTTAGTTTTGGTCCCCATGCTGATATAGCATTTTCAATGAAACGTTGGCTAAGTTTCTTCCAACTTTTCATTGCCCATCTTCTATGATCATAGGGCTTAACATCATGACTAATGGCGGGATGGTCATCAGGCAGCATCAGTTAAAGGTACATTATGCAAATTATGTTAATTTCTTATGACATGCAACATGTATAAGTGAGACGCGGGTGACATCTTTTATTTTAGTAAACATGTACTAGATTGCATTCTCAAGTTTCCTTGGGTATAAATATGATTTTGGATCAAATATTAAAAAAGATAACATTTTTTAAAAAGTGGCATTTTTTGGCCCACACTGTATGTATTAAACCCATGTATTATACCATACTGGAATTCTATGTGACTTTGATGACTGGTATGTTTATGTCTCACAGTACACCGCTTTTCTTCAGACTTGTTCCATTAAAAACTTCACAGAAATACTTTTCAGTCGAGACATTGTTTTTGTTTACAAAGTCCCTCGTTTTAGCGGCGTTTTGGTCCCCAGATGTGAGAAGTTGCAAATCCTCAGAGATTTCTCCCACAATCCTTGATATCCCGCCAGTTCTTTTATCACTCTCCCCCATATTCTGCGCAAGGACTCCCATTACAATCCTCCATCGCTGCATCAACATGTTTATTACATGAAACGCAGCAATTCTGAAAAAAGTCATACGCAACTGTTCGAAATTGACCAAAACGCCCCGTTGCCTTCCAAAACGCCCCGCAGTCTATGACTACAAACGTGTAGTTTCAAGGTGTATAAATCCAACGAGGCGTTTTGGAAGAGAACGGGGTGTTTTGATCAATTTCGAAACGATGCGTAGGACTTTTGGAAATTGCTGCGTGAAACATGTTTAATGTAATAAATATGTTGATGTAGAGATGGAGGGTTGTAATGGGAGTCCTTGTGCAAAATATATTAGAGAATAATAAAAGAACTGGCGATATATCGAGGCTTTTGGTTGAAATCTCTGAAGATTTGCACCTTTTCACATCTGGGGACCAAAACGCCGCTAAAACGAGCAACTCTGTACACAAATGCAATGCCTCGAGTGAAAGGTATTTCTGTGAAGTTTTTAATGGAACAAGTCTGAAGAAAAACGGTGTACTTTGAGACTCACAATCATTGTATGTTGTGTTAGACTTATTGTGTTCTAGACATTTGGTTGTCCTGCTGATTTTCTCAATATATTGGTTAAACTGTGCTCATGATATGGTCTCAAAATACACTTAAGGCATATATGATGTTATATGAGCAGTTATATTAGGACATTACTGGTTGTCCGGGAGAAAAATCCGGACGATCTGATCCCTTTAAGTAATACCAGGTATGTGCTTGTAGCTGTATAAACTATTTTTGAACACCCTGTAGTAAAGGAGCGCAAGTATAACTATATATTAACAAAGTTAAAAATTTGCACTACCTGGTATAAGTTTTAACTGTATGAAATAAATTGGATCTCCCTGTAGCAATACGATTTTGCAAAACCTGGTATAAGTTTACAACTGTTTGAAATAACACTCTGTTTTCTGAAAATTAAAGAAAAGTAATTTGGAGTACTCTATAACTAAGATTGTTGTTTTGGATACCCTGTATTTTAAAGAGTTTAATACCGATTGTAACAACCTACAACTAACCAGGGTTATTATTGTTATTTGGAAAATATGTAACTTTTACTTAGTGAATGTAATAATACTTGACACCCTGTACTTGGACAAGATGAAATCTAATATATATATTGTAAAACCTAAACAGAGATCCGTGCTCACGAACCACACACCTGGTCGAAAAAAGTCCGTAATTTTATCCTTGTAATTACGCATAACTAAAATTCCATGGAAGGGTTTATTTTGAATTCGGAAGAAATACTTTCCCGGTTTTCATGCATGTTAATGAATATCCACTAATTGAAGATAACAGCATCTTAAAGATACAGGAAACATAAATCATTGGGACTACTTAGCATCCCACGCATTGAAATTTTTTGTGAAAGGGCTGGGCAATAAAAACAAAAACATGGCTTTTCATTGGCACATGGCTGCACATGGCTACCCCAAAGAAATTTCAAGAAATCTCAAAATCAAATTTCCTGAATTTTGCTAAAAGGACCTGTGTCTATAAGGATTGAATTTTCCTCCGTGCATTTTCTCAAATATAGGATTGTTATATACCATTGTGATTGGGATAATGCCTGCAATGCTAATATAACCATGTTGGAAGAAAACAAACTAATTCAGTTTACTATTAGAAGGCGCTTTTTTGGGGCATTTTGAAGGCTTTATCCCTTTTTTAGGTTTTTTAGTTCATTGAGAAGCCTAATAGCGCATATCATATTAAAGGGTTGTATCTTAGCTGAACAATGCTACCAAAATTGTGACATTTTGAAGCAGTTTTGGTGTATTGGGGGCGAGGCCACTGTGCCAAGTACCCCGAATTCCATTCTTCCGTGTCATTCAATTGTTTTCGGGGCAGTTTTGAATGAACCTTTGTTTCTTCCTACCAATATAAGATGCAAGCGAGCGCATTGGCATGGATATCACTTGAAATATAGTAGAAATCGCTTTCCAATGATACTCCATATGGCCATGTTCACCTCAGTTGGGTGTACTCAATCTGTGATGCAATCTGTAAGGTGTACCCCTATCCCAAAGAAATTTCAAGAAATCTCAAAATCAAATTTCCTGAATTTTGCTAAAAGGACCTGTGTCTATAAGGATTGAATTTTCCTCCGTGCATTGTCTCAAATATAGGATTGTTATATACCATTGTGATCGGGATAATACCTACAATGCTAATATAACCATGTTGGAAGAAAACAAACTAATTCAGTTTACTTTAGGATATAGTCCTGAGTAAGGACATTAGCGGTTACCGTTAGTGATTTGGTTTTCTGAATAAAAAGTCATTTTCTCATTCCCTACCCCATTGGAGCGCCATCTGGCTATTTTAGCTATTTTAGCTAAATATTTATAGGGTAGGTCCTAATTTATCTGAAAACATGTCAGAGTTCAGTGGGAAATCTCATTTTAAGCTGGCGGTGGAGCGGTATGTATAGCTCTATGTGGATCCTCAAATGATTTTTAAATGTCTAGTATTCATGATGTCTCCACAAAAGGCCTGGTTGTATTTACTTTGAATCATAATGTATCTTCTTCAAAATTATGGTTGAGGCTGAGAATCATGGGCCAGATTGAGAATCATGGATCTAGTTAAGAATAATGGGTCAGATTCAGAATCATGGATCAGATTGAGAAATATAGATCAAGTTAAGAATCATGGGTTAGATTGAGATCTTTGGGTCAGATTGAGAATCATGGATTAAGTTAAGAATCATGGGTCAGATTGAGAATCATGGATCAGATTGAGAAATATGGGTCAGGTTAAGAATCATGGGTCAGATTGAGAATCATGGTAAGATTGGAAATTATGGGTCAGATTGAGAATCATGGGTCAGATTGGGAATTATGGGTCAGGTTGACAATCATGGGTCGGTTTGAGAATCATTGGTCGGATTAAGAATCATGGGTTAGGTTGAGAATCATGGGTCAGATTGAGAATCATGGGTCAGATTGAATCCTTGATCAAGTGAGGAATAATGAGTGGTAAATTAGTGGCGATTACTAGAGTGCTGCTAACTCTATAAAAGGTTGGCGCTGGCTAGAATTGTCTATGGTTCTAGCCAGGATAAAGATACCAGTTCTTCAACTCGACAATGGGAAGAACTGCTCTACCTTAGTGACTAATATGTCATGATTTGACATCTAAAGAGTCAATAAAAGATATAAAAATAAGTGGTAAATAGGTTGGGTGGTAAATAGATTCATTAGTCAAATTGCAAATTATGGGTCAGATTAAGAACCATGGGTCAGCGTGCGAATCATGGGTCAGATTGAGAGTCATTTGTCAGGTTTAATGATGGGTCTGTTTTAGAATTGTCGTTTTAATTGAGTTACGGCCCATAAGTGGAAAGTCAACTGCCCCAAGGTCCTAGACAATGACTGGATGACACTGATATACAGGGTGTTCCAAAAGTAACAGGACTGGTGCTGGCATTTTGTCAATTCTGCACCGAGTATGTTCAAATTTTCACAAATTGTACTTTGAAGTAGTGCAACTAAAATTGCAAAGTTTCAGAAAAAATGATAAAATGCGGGTAAAGTTATGGTTACTATAGTAACGTGACATCACAATACCCGGGGCAACTTTTCCATGAAAATGTAATATCTAACATTTTTATATGACTGAAGAAAGTATCTAATTCGCCTATTACAATACAAAAGTTCTTGTTTGTTTTATTAGTTGCTTTATAGTTATGGGGTTGCTATACAACTCAGATTCAAGCATGATTTCAAAATAATAATATTTATTCAATTTCCTAAAATATTATTATGTATAACAGTCTGCACAATTCATTGTTGAGTTTTTGAAAAGACCCAATTTGAAGCCAGTCATCCACCTTGATAAGGAATCTGCCCGCAAGTCAGCATTAAAGACCACTGCAGCTATAGCGGAGCTAGATCTTGAGATCTAAGACCATGCATCATACTCTTCTGATCATGCAATATCTAATTTTTACTTTTATATGGGTAATGGAATGCTAATCAGCGCGGTAATACCTTTAAAGATGAGAATGACCTTCTCCAAGTTGTCCTATCGACCCTGCGTGACATGTCATCAAATGGGTTCACTCATGTGTTTGGGTCATGGATACTGAGTGCTACTCTTGGACTGACCAAAGAGGACCCTACTTTTCAAAGTAGAGGATACATAGGAATATCAAATAATGTATTTAGCAAATGTAATTCCCACCAGTTGTTGGATTCTAACTTTGCTATGGGATGTACAAAATGCTTAAAGTCTCTGTAATTTTCTGTGTGGAATGTTGCCCCGGGTATTGTGATGTCATGTTGCCATAGCAACCATAACTCTACCCCAGTTTCATAATTTTTGTCAAAACTTGGCAGTCTTAGTTACAATACATGGAAGTACATTATGTAAAATTTTGAAGACGATTGGTGCATATTCGACAAAATGCCAGCACCAGTCCTGTTACTTTTGGAACACCCTATATCTACAGTTTTTATATTCCAAAATTTATTATCTTCGTGTTTTGAGGGAAAGTATGCTTTTCCTATATAGTGCCAGAATGTTCACCAAAAAATTCGATATTCCCTGATTAAGGTATACATAGTTCACCCCCTCAAAATCGGAGTTTTTTCTTACTGTAATTTTTTCAATGTTTGAATAGCATAATTCGTATTGTCACAGTTTTTCACATGGGATGATTGCCTGACATCAAAATTGTAACAAAACATTTTTTATTTTGAATTATATCATCTATTTTCTAAAATTATACATGATATCACAATAGCTTAGATTTACTGGTCTATATTGGAATATGTATGACCGCTAAAATTCATGAATGCAAAAAGATGTGTTTCTTCTCTGTTTATCATATTAGAATTGTAACAAAGACCTCGATTTTATGATTTATGTCAAGTAGATGACCTCAAATTTTATTCGGTCCATTCCCAAATACCTCAATCGCTAAGCGATTTCGGTCTTTTAACAATGAACAGAATTAAATTTTTGTCATGACACCATAAATCATAAAATCTTGGTCTTTATTCCTTAAATAATGTTCAGACGATTATTAACATACATTTTTGAAAAAGTACAATATTGTGTCAATCATTATCAGTTGATTATGCCACTCATACAATAGCCCCATATGAATTCATAACGGTAATCTTAAAAAATCAAATTCATTCAACTGGCCAAAAGTCCTTATAATAAGCCAAATTTAAATAAGCAGAGCTACTTTAAATTAATAGGGTAGGCAAATTGAAATAGATGAGCCAAAATACAAGTGAGGCAAAATACAGAAGAGGCAAAATACAGGTGAGGCAAAATACAAGTGAGGCAAAATACAGGTACGGCAAAATACAGAAGAGGCAAAACACAGGTGAGGCAAAATACAGATTATTCAAAATACATCTGAGATAAAATACAGATGAGGCAAAATACAACGGAGGAGAAATACAGCTGAGGCAACTTTGAATAGCGAGGCAGAATTCATTATCTTGTGGTGGCTATCAGGGCATCATTTTTTCACTATTTTCAGTATTGTAAATTCATACATTTAAATATTGAATATAATATTTATATAGGTTAAAACCGTTGTGTATGTGCACTAGTTATCATGATATTGATGTACGTATAATAAGATAATTTTATAGACACAACCACACCACCCCCCCCCCCCCCCCCATCTGCCTGACTATGGGCCTGTTATGTGTGTGGCATAACACAGAGTGCGCATCAATATACATTTCTTTACAATATACAGGTACATGTTTATCACCAAAATAATATTAAAATACAATGACGAAGTTCATCGGGTAGGTTACTTGATCCATAACAAAAATCTCCTTACGTGTTACAACTCAAAATGGTCAAATTAAAAGAAAACTTTGGTTATGGGTCAAACGTCAAATTCATTACAACATATATTTGTGCTTTCAGGAGATACAAATGGGACTATAGAACTTGACAATGTTCTTGTGCTCTAAAAGAGGCAAGCAATACCATATATGATATACAAAGCTCTAGGTGAAAATGTATGCGACCAAGATACAGGTCCTAAATTCATGTTATTTTAAAAGTACAATTTTGCGCGAATAACAAGTTATTCCCAATGATGCCAAGTACAAGTATGCAATATATGATTGTGATATTCGATACAGTGGACTTATAGCTCTGCACAATATATTGTTGTTCAGTACAATAATAGTAATGATTAATACACTAAATTCATAGTACTGTACATTGCATTTCAGAATGATTATGTTGCATACAATACACTTATAGTTCTTCACACTACATTGTTGTTCAGTACAATAAACGCATAGTTTTGTACAATAGATTGCATTTCAGAATGATTATGTTGCATACAATTACTTATAGTTCTGCACACTACATTGTTGTTCAGTACAATAAACCCGTAGTTTTGTGATTATGTCTCATACAATACACTTATAGTTCTGCACATTACATTGTTGTAGTACAATAATATTAATGATTAAAACAATAAATTCATAGTTTTGTACTATGCATTGCATTTCAGAATGATTTTGATTCATACAATGCACTTATAGTTCTGCACATTACATTGTTGTTAAGTACAATAAATGCATAGTTTTGTACAGTAAATTGCATTTCAGAATGATTATGTTTCATACAATACACTTATAGCTCTACATTGTTGTAGTACAATAATGTCAATGATTAATACAATAAATACATAGTTTTGTACAATAAATTGCATTTCAGAATGATTATGTTTCATACAAAACACTTACAGCTCTACATTGTTGTAGTACAATAATGTTAATGATTAATACAATAAACATATAGATTTGTACAATAAATTGCATTTCAGAATGATTATGTTTCATACAATACACTTATAGCTCTAAATTGTTGTAGTACAATAACATTAATGATTAATACATTTAACACATAGTTTTGTCCAAAATATTGCATTTTAGAATGATTATGTTTCGTACAATGCACTTATAGTCCTGCACATTACATTGTTGTTCAGTACAATAAATGCATAGTTTTGTACAATAGATTGCATTTTAGAATGATTATGTTTCATACAATACGCTTATAGCTCTGCATATTACATTGTTGTTCGGTACAATAAAGGCAAAGTTTTGTACAATAGATTGCATTTTAGAATGATTATGATTCGTACAATGCACTTATAGTTCTGCACATTACATTGTTGTTCAGTACAATAAATGCATAGTTTTGTACAATAAATTGCATTTCAGAATGATTTTGTTTCATACATTGCACTTATAGCTCTATATTGTTTTAGTACAATAATGTTAATGATTAATACAATAAACACATAGTTTTGTACAATAAATTGCATTTCAGAATGATTATGTCTCATACAATACACTTATAGTTCTACACAATACATTGTTGTTCAGTACAATAAAGTCATAGTTTGTACAATGAATTGCATTTCAGAATGATGATGTCTCATACAATACACTTATACTTCTGCATATTGCATTGTTGTTCAGTACAATAAAATCGTAGTGTTGGACAATATATCTCATTTTGGAATGATTGTGTTTGTAATGATTCATATAATAAATTCATAGTTCTGTACAATGTATTGTTTTTAATTATGCTTTATAAAATATACTTATAGTTCTGAACAATAAATTGCTGTTTAGTACAATAACGTTAATGATTTATACAATAAACCCATAGTTTTGTACAGTACATTGCATTCAATTAAAGGATGTGTCTGGGTATATGCCCTTTTGGTCCCTCAGTCAAATGTATGTGAAATGTGTTTTTTATTACTGTCCTAGCTATATTTCATAAGTATATTTACTTTTTCACAAGTTTCGATGCATAATTAACCCCCTGCTGAGAGTCAGAATATAAGTATCTTAACGAAACAAATAGTCATTATCATAGAAAAAACACCAATGGCAACATGTATGACTTACAAAGAAGAAATAAATTAAGACCCATGAAGAATTTAAAAGAAAAAATTTCAAATTTTTGAATTTCCCGCCAGTTTAATTTGAAGGGGGAAAAACAAGATGGCTGCCATTTGATGTAAGAAATATCAGAAAAAAAGTTGCTTCACTTTAAGTTTTTACAATGAGCACAGTTTTCCGGTTTAGGTTTTTTGACTGATTCTGACTCTTCATCACCAGGGTCATGTATAGAGATTATAAAATTAAAACCAAAATGTTGTGCTCAGCATGAATTTGACTGAAATATGTGTAACTTCACCAACACAATTGAAGTCTCAAAACTGGATGCTCAGTAACTTTGAGTGACTTTAATCCCTTGATTACCCAGATAAACACCAATTCACTTATCCAGAAATACCATTCAATGTCTATACAAAGAAAGTAAGCAATGTTTTGGAGGTTATGTTTCAAACCTTTTGTATAAATAATTCATTTAATATTTGCCATTGATTTTTTTTCAATTCTGACAAAGTGATATGCACTGTCTTTGATGCCAATATTCTTCATTAATTGTGATACAAATTGATATTTTTGTACTCTCAGAAGAAGGATAAGATACTGAAGTTTAATAATATGTTTGATTGAGTTGGTTTTTCAGACATTACAATTTTCAATATTTTCGAAGTCGATACCCAGACTCATTCCCAGACTCATCCTTTATGTTTTATATAATAATGTATAGTCATTGTTATTGTAAAGTCATTGTCATTGTCAAGTTGTGTAGTTACTATGTTGTTCATACAACAATTAATGACTATTCCACATATTCATTGTTCCATCGTCAGAGTGTTTTTGGCGCTAGGATGTGATAATGTTGATATGTGCCTTTGATAGATAGCTTCGTGTTGTTGAAATTGTTGGTCATCTTCTAACTCTCATATCTTTCATCGGGTTTGGACTGAAACACAAAGCCAAAATGCAATTTAATATTTTTGTATTTTAAAATACATCAAAATACATCAATTTCGTTCCAAGAATCATCAAATAGATACAATGCAAACGGTTAAAAAAAGAAAAAGTATGAATCATAGTCACTGATTTGCGATTCACCTTATGCGTTTTTTATTATTTATACCCATCCCCCAAAAAAACTATTTTATTCTTATACCATGGGCAGAGCAATGTCATGTATATACAGCATATATCAATCAATCCGATCCTGCTAATTCGAATCGAATTGAAATAGCATCATGACTTTTTGTACAATAATAATTATGTGTAATATTGCAGTATCATATACCGTGTCATTGTGTTACATTTACCTTAGTCTCTGAATGTGATAGTGAATAATTGTCCACGGTTATCCCCAACCAGTAAATGTCCGTCTTGGTTTATAAAAACAGCATATGGGTGGAACAAGCCATCACTCGCTGTTAGGAGGTAACTATGGAACATGCCATCAGGGGTGAGTAGTTGTATCCTCCTGTTATGGAAGTCTGCTACCACAATGTAGTCCTCCTTATCTGTGGTGACACCAAGTGGGTTGTTCAACTGCTCCTCCCCTGATCCAAGTGTACCATAACTGAAGAGTACTTGACCATCCTGGTCCAATCCATTTATAGAATGTCCGTGATAGTCACTCACTATAACTACTCCTTTGCTGTTCGTTGTCACATAGTAAGGAGTGCTTAACGTACCAGGAGCAGAGAGTGATGTTGCATTCCCTGTATCTTGTTCAACAATATACACTCTGTCTGTGTAAGTATCGCATACAACCAACTGACCAGTAGGCAGTGAAGTAATACCACGTAGTGTATATGTAGACTCTGTAAATATACTGCGGGTATAATTGCCGTCTGCTGTATAGAAGTAGATTGTGCTAGACTCATGAGTGAATACTAGTTCATCATCACTTGTAACTGTAACACGCCGGAATATTTTTCCGATATCTTTGATGAGACTATAATCACTGGCATATATCTTTGTTGTGGATCCTGATCCACCTGTTGCCACAATATGTCCACTTGATGTTACTGCGAGATCCGTTATATAGCTTGACTGCAGCTGTCTCTTTGCAACAATTGGGATGCTTTTTAGTTTTCCAGCGGTTACTGCAATTACATAAATAAGAAACATATAATAATATAAGTAAATCATGGAATTATGTTGTAATAATGTGATACAAGGATTTCAGATATATTTAAACATCGTATGAAATAAGAATGCTAGCGAATACAAAAAATCGTGGAATGGAATGATCGTTTTAAAGTATAATATGTTCTGTTCATGCACAAAATGTCAAAGTTGTAATTCGGTAAATCATTTAGAAACGGACAAGGTCGACGTTTGTGATTGATTTTACATCCTTACGTGTATCATATTATCATTAATATGACCCACGGTATCAAGGGCATTTATACTGAAGTAGACCAAGGCTGGAACCACAAGTAACTGATTGTGTGATGAAGGATAGGCTTTGAATATTATCCATTTTCTTCTATATTGTTAATAATTGTTAAAATATCATAAATGATTGATTCGAGTATTCAAGTATATAGAACATGTGTTGAGACTTTTTAATTTCGGGGACACACTAATTAAATGGGTAAAATTATTCTATACAGATATAAAGAGTTGTGCTTTGAATAATAATAGATCAACTGGCTGGTTCGATATTAAAAGATCATGTAGGCAGGGGGACCACTTGAGTTGTTTGACATTTATCTTAGTGATAGAAGTCCTGGCAATTAGAATTAGACAAGATCAGACTATTAAAGGAATCCGCTTGGGAAACAATGAGCAAAAGATCGAGTTATTTGCTGACGATACAACACTGACAGTAGATAGCAAAGAATCTCTTAAACTGGCTTTAAACATTTTTGATGAATTTAAAGATATTTCTGGATTATGTATTAACAAAGAAAAGACAGAATGTATGTATATTGGTTCAGAAAGATCTAAAACTGAGGATAAGTTATACGGTTTAAAATGGGTTAAAGATCCAAGTAAATTTCTGGGAATTTGTGTCTCATATAATAAGAAATCAAATGATTTTGTTAACTTTGAGAAGAAATTAGACTCGCTTCAAAAAGTATTGAAAATGTGGTCAAGAAGAAATTTAACTTTATATGGTCGAGTTCTGATAATTAAAACGCTTGGTATTTCTAAACTGGTATATTCCATGTCAATGACAAATACCCCAAATGATATATTAACAAAGGCACAACAGATAATTTACTCATTCCTATGGGGTGGAAAAACGGAAAAGGTTAAAAGACGAACTTTAATTGGTGATTACGACGAGGGTGGTCTGAGAATGATTGACATGTTTTCAATGGAAAAAGCACTTAAACTGATATGGCTAAAAAGATTAATCGAACCTCGACAAAGTCATTGGAAATATATTCCAGAATTGTACTTTAAACCGCTTGGGGGAATTAAGTTCTTTATACAATGTAATTTTGATATTAAAACAATAGCCCACGACGTGCCAGAATTTTACTCAAATAGTTTACAAATTTACTCTGATATAAGGAATATGCAAGCTCCAAGAACTAGTTCTGAAGTTAAAAGTGAAATACTCTGGAATAATAGATTTGTCCTAATTAATAACAAAGAGGTCATAAATAAGCATCTTATGGATAATGGGGTCGTTTACGTAAATGACCTCCTAAATGACCAGGGACATTTTTTACAGTATTATGATTTTAAGGCAAAATACAACGTACAAATTAATTTTATTGATTATTATGCTATAATATCAACTGTACCGAAGGAGTGGAAACGTTTATTGAAGCGAGACTTAACTTCAGTTTTTGAACCGAGCCTACAAACGGATCTTGTGCATTTAACACTTGGCGAAAAACCAGTGTCATTGAATGGTTTAACAGTAGTCAATTCAAAAAATATTAAATAGAAACAAATATTTGGAACCACTATATAAAAATGAACATGATCGTGAGTTAGGAAGAATAGATTATTTTAAAATGGCTTATAGCTGCACGAAACAAAATAAAATTCGACAACTTCAATTTAAGATTCTACATGGTATTTGTACCACAAACGCTTACTTAACGCAGATAGGAATTAAACAGGATGCTAGATGTAGTTACTGTCCATTAAGAGACACTTTAAAGCACAAGTTTTGGGAATGTAGACGGGTTCAGATTTTTTTGAAAGCTATTAAAGAGAATTTGGGGAAATTATTCAATGTAAATCTTAATTTTAATGCCCATGATATGGTATTCGGAAGATCTGTAAATAATGAAAACACTTTGCTAAACAGGCTATCACTAGCAATCAAATATTATATATATGCAAAACAATTTAATGAGGTAAATCCCAACTTGGACGTGACTCAATTTGAAAATACCATGTTTATGTATATACCAGAACTTCTGGGTATGACTGTTGCGAATGTCTGAATGAATGGAGGTGGTGTGAAAGTGGTTTAATATTTTATCATTGCCTTGTTTAATGTATTATTTTATGTTTGATTCAATAAAAAAAAAAAAAAATGATTGCTTATAACCCCTTGCTCATATATTTGTAATCTTTTTTGGAGTCTGTTTCACAGTGCGGTTAACATAACTATATCGAAGTTAACTGTTCATGCTAGAGCATTGAACAACACGGTTTGTTTGGCCATGAACATAAGTACAGGGGGACCATACTTTAGGGACACCCTGTATATATGGAAGATTGTATTTATGCGTTATCATTATCATGGGCCATCTTGCTTCATCAAGCTTCGGACCTATCCTAGAACGTAGTGATTGAGCGTGGGAACCGACGATGATCATGGGCTTTAAAGAGAGAAAAGGGTATGCAACTCTGTGTTATAAACATGAGAACTCCAATTGAGCAGTGCCATGCTTCCCTTTTTATATTGCAAAAAGTATTATAATATAAATATGTTTTAGTATTATCTTGAATAAAATTCAATTTTCAATATGGTCATATAACATGTACATTCTCATGTAAAAGTAAGCAAAAAGACAAATAAGAAAAAGAGGTATCAAAATGTTCTCTAAAAGAATTGTATCGTGGGTAATTATTCAAGAACACATTCCAATAAAAACATAATTTGTGGGAGAATGTTCACTTTCATTATTGCCGTAATCATGACGAAATCCATTTTGTAATCAATTATCAACATGTATGTAGAGAATCCTGTTTTTATTTTTGGGTTATTTCGTTAAATCATTCATGAAAATGTCATTCATGAAGATTTTCCCTGGAATCCGTCGACCTCCAATTTTGAAAACCCAAGGCAATGGCTATGTATGGAATATTGGAAGTTTTCTAAACTTCTCTTGAACGCCCATAGCGTAATCGAGCAATTGAGAAACAACATGTAATTTGTAGGTCAAAAATTGGAAATTCTAAATTATACATCAATTTTGGCCTTGCCACAAAGAACATGAAAATCAATTAGCAAGGCATTAACATGACTTTGAAAAAATGGTAAATTTGAAGCAAGTTGAATAAATAACCTTTTGAACTTTTTTAACTTTTTTTACATTGAGAAAGTCGTTGTAGGTCAAATCTTAATTCATAAGTCAGATTTGAACTTTTGAGAATTTGCTGATGGTTTTGAAAAAAAATTAAGTCAGTCTAAATAGTAGTTGTTGAGTTATTGCAAGTTGTAAGAATTTGTTTCAGACGCCGATCGCAATCCGCCGATCGCCAACTGCCGTCACAAAAAAATGGAGACCATAACAATATGTCATCAATTTTGGTGGTGACATAAAAACCAGTTCTCTCATATATTGTTTAACATTAAATGTTAGAGCGTTCCGTAGAACACAGTTCGCTTGCCCATGATCGTACCTATATATCGAGAGTTTTACTTTTAAAAGCAAGACTAACAAAATCTGTACATTTTAAATTATACATAAATTCTGCCCTTGCGGTTGAGAACAAGAAAAATTAATTAAAAACAGTTTTGTCCGTATATATATTAATAGCTCTCTTATGTCACTACAGTGACATATTCTTACTGTTTAACAATTCATGTTCACTGTGGAGGAATTCTTCAAACTAGTTACAGAAACGGATCCGTTTACGTAAAAAGATGTCGCAACCTCCAAGGTACGATTTCTCTTTTTCAAGATTTCATGACTGAGTTGTAAGCAAAATCGACTCGACTTCGTCTTGTTCAAATACGGAATTTCTCGGGCAGAATATATCCTGTGTTTTTCACTTCAACTCATTCAATAACTTATATTATGTAGAGTTTAGTCGATCACGTGACAAACCGAATAGGTCTGTGGAAAACCGAATGACTTTGTGTCAGTTTTGGTCACACAACTATGCAGTAACCCGTACATAAAATTACAAATATATATATGCATAACCATGGGTTTTCAATAGATGAATGCCCATGGGATAACTTGTCCTTAGTATATAAAATAAAAATCTATTCAGGCCTTACAACCACTGTCTATTTTCTAAAACAGGAAAATAAACGTTTCTCTTCCAAACCACCAAATTACTTTTAAATAACTCAAACCCTCAAAAGAAAAGTTGTGTCAGATATTTGGAAAAAACAGGTCTGTAGACTTCAATTTTTGCCCTTTCTACCAATTATTGAGAATGAAATAAAATATATTTCCGAACCTTGTTGGAACAAAATTGCACATACAATATTTTTAAAATATTTTCTCAATATTCTACTTATACAAAAGAAAGTTTGGTTGATTTAAAAAGTATTCAAAAATTAACAAAAAACGAAATGGATAAAAACTAAGATAAACCATAAATTTTATTATCAAGATACTTTTTTAAATCAACCAAACTTTCCTTTGTACACGTACAATATTAAGGGACATTTTGTTCCAATGAGGTTCAGATAGATGTTTCATTTCATTCCGAACATATGATACCAAGAACAAAAGAAGTGTCCGATGTGTTTTCCAAACAATATAGAGAAAAGTTTATATATCTTTTTCAAATTATGTTGTTATAATTCAAAATACGACCATTACATTGACAATGTGTAAAATTTTCAGAATTTTTTGATGATTGGTTTAAGATACATTTCAATACCCATCCTTTCAATAAACATTTTCTAAAACATTAATTAGACGATCCATCAGAGGTATTTTATTACTTGGATTTCCTTATATTGAGAACTTGTACTACTCATTTTAAGTAAAAAAAATACTTAAATAATCCATGAACTACTGAATAATTTTTAAGTAATTATAAGTAATTACAAGTAATTATAAGTAATTTAAAACAATGATATCTATATTCATTAAAAAAAATTAAAATGACTTCATGCACAGACACTCTGAATTTATGGTGAATTTACTAATGCAAGGAGAGAAATTGAAATACTTACTGTAGTAATTGTAATACTCATTTACATAATTAAGCAGTTAAAAAACTCAAAATGACAATATAAGTAAAACCTAAGTAAAATGAAGTAAAACTAAATATTTAACTTTAAGTAATTTTTATACTTGGGAAATACTCTAGTAATTCATTTTTAAGAGTGAATACGGCACAATAATAGCACTTGATAACTAATATTAGGAAAGATAAAAAGTAAAATTTCTTATATGTATTCAATTCAAATATAAGCCAAATTGACAACTGGTATTGAGTCTTCAAGGATAAAATCCATTTACAAAAATGACAGCTTTTTTAAAATAAAGTGTAGGAACATTGTAATACAAATCAGTTAGTTTCAGAGGTGGGTCTGATTTACATGCACATCAATTTGAATTTAGACAAAACATACCGATTCTGAAGATCTCTGATGGTTGCGATGGTTCCCCAGTCCCGACCTCATTCTCTGCTACGATGCGCAGTTCATAATCCACATCTTCCGTCAGACCTCTCAACAGGTAATTGTTCCCAGGAATACCATTGTCAGTCGTCACGAGCATCCATGTGTAATTGTCGGAACGGCGCATCTCAATGTTGTAATTGGTGACCCTTGCGCCCCCGTCATCTTGGGGTGGTGTCCAGGTGACATTAGCTGTGTCGTTGAGTACAGATACGACAGGTCTACCAGGTGGACCGGGTGTATCTGAAATAGTACAGTGGATTTTGATTGAGAGCAAAGCCGATTCAAATAAATGTAAAACAAAAACATGTTCAGTTAAAATAATCGAATTCTCTATTTCAGTTGGTTGTTTTATGTTCTTGTGCGAGGTTGCACTCCATCTCCACAGGTTGCGGAACATGCTCTTCAAGCTGACTTCGTGAAGGACCCCGTTAACTAAAACCAAAGCATCAGTATTCAGTTAATATAATTAGAATCTCTATTCCATTGTGTTTTTATGCTCTTGTCCGAGATTGTCCACCACCTCAGCAGTTTGCAAAACACGCTCGCCAAGCTAACTACGTAAAGGACCCCATTAAGTTAAACTAAAAAATAATTATTGAGTTGAAATAATCGAATTCTCTATTTCAATGTGTTGTTTTATGCCCTTCTGAGAGTTTGTCAACCATATCCGGAGGTTGTATAACACGCTCGCCAAACTGACCACGTTCCACGACCACTGTTAACTGAAACAAAAACATATTCAGTTGAGACAATCGAATTCTCTATTTCAATGGGTTGATTTATGGTCAAAAAGTTAGCCATCTCTGTAGGTTACAGAACACGCTCTCCGAGCTGACCATGAACCAGGAACTCCGTCAACTAAAACAAAATACATTCAGTAGAAATAATAGAATTCTGCATTTCAGGGGGATGTCGGATGCTCTTGTTCGAGGTTGCTCTCCATCTCCACAGGTTATGAAATATGCTCAACAAGCTAACCACGAACCAGGACCCCCTTATCTTAAACAAAATCGCATTTTAAATCAAAATATTTATCTCTTTGAATGACTTTATACGCTATAATAAATTCCTAATATTGTCAAACCATACCGGGGCATTCTGCATCATTACAGGGTCGTGTGTCTGTCAGGTCACTTGAATTGCATTGGCTTCCTCCATGAGCTGGGGCTGGGTTGTCACATGCTCTTGTGCGAGTTTGCTCTCCATCTCCGCAGGTTGTAGAACACGCTCCCCAAGCTGACCACGTACCAGGGCCTCCATTTACTGAAACAAAAACATATTCGGTTAATAAATACAATTCTTTACCTCTATAAATGACTTCAAATGCTATAATAAATTTCCTAATTCTGTCAAATCGTACCGGGGCATTCTGCATCATTACAGGGTCGAGTGTCCGTCAGATCACTTGAATTGCATTGGCTTCCTCCATAAGCCGGGGCTGGGTTATCACATGCTCTTGTACGTGTTTGCTCTCCATCTCCGCAGGTTGTAGAACACGCTCCCCAAGCTGACCACGTACCTGGACCTCCGTTAACTGAAATAAAATCGCATTTTAAATCAAGTTATTTATCTCTTTGAATGACTTCATACGCTAATAATAAATTCCTAATTCTGTCAAATCATACCGGGGCATTCTGCATCATTACAGGACCGTGTGTCCGTCAGATCACTTGAATTGCATTGGCTTCCTCAATAAGCTGGGGCTGGGTTGTCACATGCTCTTGTGCGAGTTTGCTCTCCATCTCCACAGGTTTTAGAACACGCTCCCCAAGCTGACCACATACCAGGGGCTCCATTTACTGAAACAAAAACATAATCGATTAATAAATAACATATTCGGTTAATAAATAAAATTATTTACCTCTATTAATGACTTCATACGCTATAATAAATTCCTAATTCTGTCAAATCATACCGGGGCATTCTGCATCATTACAGGGTCGTGTGTCCGTCAGATCACTTGAATTACATTGGCTTCCTCCATAAGCTGGGGTTGGGTTGTCACATGCTCTTGTGCGAGTTTGCTCTCCATCTCCGCAGGTTTTAGAACATGCTCCCCAAGCTGACCACGTACCAGGGCCTCCATTCACTAAAACAAAAATAAATTCAGTTAAAATAATCGAATTATCTATCTCAATGGGTTGTTTTATGTTCTCGTGCGAAATTGCTCTCCATCTCCGCAGGTTGTAGAACACGCTCCCCAAGCTGACCAGGTATCAGGGGCTCCATTTACTGAAACACAAACATATTCGGTTAATGAATAAAATTCTTTGCCTCAATAAATGACTTCATATGCTATAATAAACTCCTAATTCTGTCAAATCGTACCGGGGCATTCTGCATCATTACAGGGTCGTGTGTCCGTCAGATCACTTGAATTGCATTGGCTTCCTCCATAAGCTGGGGCTGGGTTGTCACATGCTCTTGTGCGAGTTTGCTCTCCATCTCCGCAGGTTGTAGAACACGCTCCCCAAGCTGACCACGTACCAGGACCTCCGTTAACTGAAACGAAATCGCATTTTAAATCAAGTTATTTTTCTCTTTGAATGACTTCATACGCTAATAATAAATTCCTAATTCTGTCAAATCATACCGGGGCATTCAGCATCATTACAGGGTCGTGTGTCTGTCAGATCACTTGAATTGCATTGGCTTCCTCCATAAGCTGGGGCTGGGTTGTCACATTCTCTTGTGCGAGTTTGCTCTCCATCTCCGCAGGTTTTAGAACATGCTCCCCAAGCTGACCACGTACCAGGGGCTCCATTTACTGAAACAAAAACAGATTCGGTTAATAAATAAAATTCTTTACCTCTATAAATGACTTCATACGCTATAATAAATTCCTAATTCTGTCAAATCATACCGGGGCATTCTGCATCATTACAGGGTCGTGTGTCCGTCAGATCACTTGAATTGCATTGGCTTCCTCCATAAGCTGGGGCTGGGTTGTCACATTCTCTTGTGCGAGTTTGCTCTCCATCTCCGCAGGTTTTAGAACATGCTCCCCAAGCTGACCACGTACCAGGGGCTCCATTTACTGAAACAAAAACAGATTCGGTTAATAAATAAAATTCTTTACCTCTATAAATGACTTCATACGCTATAATAAATTCCTAATTCTGTCAAATCATACCGGGGCATTCTGCATCATTACAGGGTCGTGTGTCCGTCAGATCACTTGAATTGCATTGGCTTCCTCCATAAGCTGGGGCTGGGTTGTTACATGCTCTTGTGCGAGTTTGCTCTCCATCTCCGCAAGTTGCAGAACACGCTCCCCAAGCTGACCATGTACCAGGACCTCCGTTCACTAAAACAAAAATAAATTCAGTTAAAATAATCGAATTATCTATCTCAATGGGTTGTTTTATGTTCTCGTGCTAATTTCCTCTCCATCTCCGCAGGTTGTAGAACACGCTCCCCAAGCTGACCACGTACAATGACCCCCGTTATATAAAACAAAAACATTCATTCTCCAGATTTCGAAGAAGTTATTAGGGAGAATGACATATACAATTTAATCCAGATTTTACCTGGTTTTTAATCTGAAGAATAATGAAAAATACAAATACAATATATTTCATCTACAGTCTAATCATAAAGAAAGAAAGAAGAACAGATATGGGGTCAATATTGCGAGAAATGAAGGACGAATGGACGAAAAGGATTGGTATGGGGACAGGGAGGAAGCGTCCTATATATATTTCTCGAAGCCGTTCGATGGGATTTGCACAAGTACGTGTTTTAACTCATTCAATACTGGGCCAAAAAGCACTAATATACTGAAGAATTTTTGAAAATTCCTATATATGGTACCTATGAGATAATATATAAAATATATACATGGGCATACATATGTAGTGTTATATATCATTTTAAAGCATATGATAACTCTATCAGAATCAATACGTTTTTAAGTCCCATTTTATAGGTTGTCATGGTTACAAGATTCCAAAAAAATACATTGGGTTTGTGCTTGGACGTGATATCACGTCATTCGCACAAGTACGTGTATTAAACTAAATTTCATCATTAATCATTAATCTTTTGTATTATTGAGGGTTTTTGTTTCTAAATTCAAGGGGCTACCCTTTACCACTGATGACTGTATACATATAGATGTAGCGACCCTGGGTTGGCTAGTCATATTTTACTCTAAAATAAAATGCCAACCTTTCACCCGGTGTCGCTACTTCCCTTCCGCTCGGAGCGCGAATAGTACCGCTACGGGGTTATGAGTTAATATATATACTTTACCTCTATAGCTTTTGTATTTTGATTAAAATTGGTGATTTTGATTACTTTCAACACTTGATCAGGCCTGATCGAACGTTATGGCAGACAGAGGGATGAGGAGGGTCGAGTGGCTGCAAAACTGAGGTTGTATTTTTATAGTTGAACTTCACTGCAGTGCTGAGCATACTTGTAGACATATTGTGAATCATTTTCAGATTTCATTTTGTCTTTGACTTTAAGTCAACTGAGTGTGCATTTGATACATTATTTGGAACAGTTGATCTAATGTGATTGACTTTTTTTGAAAATTATGTAATTTTTGGCTGGTCAATCTGGTCTGATTTAATATGCTCAGCGCCTGGTGAGATTTTAAACAGCGCCACCTTTTGACAATCGCTTTACTTAAAACTCGATGTTGTTTTGATCATAGGGGCTGAAATATAGTCGCCAACTTAATCAAGTCCTTTGTAATCTTTTTGTGAGTTGTTATCGACTAAAGTCAGAGTTTGCTTTTAGAGCCATGTAGTTCATGTAATTTGCTTTAATTTTATATTATAAATCTGATTTAAAACCAGATCTTTATTATTTATTTACTATTAAACTTTAAAAACTTTACTTGATCTGTCGTGTTGATTGTTTGTAATCATTGATTGGATGTTTAGATGGAATAACAGTAAAATAGACCTATAATTAATTCTGATATCTTCCTAACTTCATTTCTTTATTCTGTTCCAAGTCATTCTTTTTCTATTATTTTTTCTAACTTTTGTGTCTATTTAAAGATGGCAGCACCTTACATATAGTCAATCAATCAATCACTTTCAGCTCAAATTCGATTCACTACGTTGCCATTGGCCGTTCAGGTAACCAAGCTATCATTTGTTTGCTTGTTCGATCCTCTTTGTTTGTTTGTACGGGTTGTTTTGTTGTAGTAATGGTTAATTGATTGATTGGGCAGCAGCACGTGGCATTTTCGGGATTAAGACCGGAGCTGTTACATATATAATTAATGCACAATTAATAAGCAATGGTGATTTTTATGAATTTTATTAAGTTCTCTTGAGTGCTGGCTCTCTGGTATTATTATATTATAATTATTATCATATTGCAAATGTCAACGCGACCTGACGTTCGCAAGGAAGGCACGATAGAGGGGTTTCGATAAAAGTTGTTTTGAAAACGTATACGTAGACTTGTACTTTAAAGGGTCTTGTCACACTAAAATCAATTTGAAATTGATTTCATGATTTGTTCTCAGTTGGCATAAATAGGTTTCTATAATGCTGTTCTATTTACAAGGCGTTAACATTGTTTGGAAGTTAAAGCATAAAAGCATTATCAAGCAACCGTTACAATATTTTAAAACTGGAACTACATACTTGCCAAATATTGGAAGGATAAAAGGAACCTATCGTCCAACGTTTCCAGTTCCAGTCCTAGAGTCTTTTGAGTATAATAAAACATTGCATTACAGATCAAATTGTTAAGTAATTAGAAGAATAGCATAAGAATACACAAGTGCAAGTTGAAAAAGACAATGTAAAATGGTATGAATACTGAAGCTAAATAAATAACTATGCTTTAAAATGAATTTCATAATAGCAGGAGCTTTGATGCTTGATTGAGGTTTACAAAACGTATTTAATTGATTGTTTTTTATTACGTTTTACAGGGAAAAGAGTCAGGCAATTACAATTGCATCAAGCAAATTTCTTTATTCAGTGAAATTTTTGAATTTTGAATGAACACTTTCAAATAAAGACATAGATCTACACAATACTTAATAAGAAGTGAGAAATAATTGAATTGATTTAAAAGAAACTAATTAAAGATCTGGCTAACTTATTGTTTGATACGTAATTAATGTGATTTATGTACACTTATCTGCTGCAAAACACTATAGATTTGATATATTAATTGGTGTGTTTACATATTTTCTATTTTATATCACCCTTATATGGTATGTCAGAAGCTACATGTATGTAAGGCATTTTAGGGATAACATTTTATATTGTTAAGCGTTGAGTGTATGCTTAATATCAATGCATGAATCACATCAAAAGTGATGCTTTATTAAAATTATCAAAGATAGAGATGGTTGATGAACACAATAGTCAAGAATGATCAAATATAGCAATAAAGTAAGTTGATAATTAAACGCTTTTGAAACTGGTTGGATTGCTTCGCATAGTATTATATGAGTACTCTTCAAATACATCAATGGAATTAAACATTTATGTTGTTTGTGATAGACAAAACAGACAAATCTGCAACACAGATACCTTTGATGTGTACTCAACAGATACCCCTTAATTCGAGTGATTTTGGTTTAAAAAACATTTGCAATATTTTCTTTGATACTAAATTGAATGAAATTTTTTGTTATATCTGTTTTGTAATTCACTTTGGTCATAGCATTGATTCATTATATTCTTTAACTGCACTTACGTTACGGCTCGCAGATTAGGTGGGATCTTAACAATTAAATAAATTAACGGTCATATTTGATTTAGATGTTCTTTACATGCTTTTGAGTTCTATGATTTATGATATCAACTTTTTAATTCTATTCAATTGACCCGTCAAGTATAGATCTGGTTTGGCACTAGGCGATACAAATATATCATCAAGAAAGACCAGTTGTTTAGAATCTAAAGGGGTCTAAACCCAATTTCTGAATTTGATAAATAGCCTATAAAAAAATATTATTTACACAGACACGTAGACTGTATTTTAGGCTACGCTTAATCTTTGCTTAGAATATTGGGATATTGTCGATTTTTTTAAGATGTTTTTTCATTTTCTTCGTTTTTTCTGTAATGTGAAATACTCTTTGGTCCGATAATCAAAACCGTTTAGTTCGTGAATGCCATTTTACCGCATAATATGTGTTGTAAACTACAATGATCTCCGAGTGGCATGGTCTGTGGTGCCGTTTAGTTCTTTTTAATTTCCGTGTTTAATATATATGTCACGATTTATCATAATGTAGTAACTGAAAAGTATTTTCTGTTATTTATTACCCCGATTTCAGAGCGCATTCTGGTGCATACATTTTTAGTCTACAATTAATAGAATTATTTCTCAAATTAGAATTGCTACGATTTCAAACATTAACATTATATTAACTATTTTATTCAAAGAGTGTACATCTATTTTTGCTTTGTAACGTTAGCTATTTATCCCTTCCTACGTAAATGTTAACAAAATAATTTATTTGAAACCTTTTTGTTATTAAAGATCCTTGATGGACGCTCTATTGTTGAGATTATTTGAATATTCTTGTAATATCTGGTTGTATAATAATGTTTCAAGTGGGAGTAAGCTATATTTTGATAAATTGTTCGTCATTGTTTTAGCGTCATCAGTCAGAATAATTTATCAGCTTTGTAGGCATAACACTTTTTGATTTTTAATGGAATCTACTAGTAGCAATGGGCATTCAGAGGTAATATTTGTAGTAGAAATAAAAAATCATAACAAGCCATAGATTGAATGTATAGATCTGTGCAATCGAGAGACAAAACAATATTAAAAATTACCAATTCGAACGTTTGATGTCAATATTTTGTTCCGTTCATTTTAAATTGACTAATTATAAACATGTTTCAAAATGTATTATTTGTTTCCATTTTAAGTTTTTCAGACCTTTCCAGACCTGATTTATTGCAGACCTAATATGTACTTCTTACTTCTTAATAAGCTGTTTTTTAGATCATAATTGATGAATATTTTGCAATTATTCACACTTCTGCAATCTAGGGAAATAAAATGAAAATAAAAACGACCCGACATCATGTTCTATTTTATCGAGCTTCTCGAGTTTTTGAAAGTGATGAGAACACTGTTATAATAACCGAACCATAAAACTAGTCATCATTCTGATTATATGAATATTTCCTTTTGATAAATATATTAGCTTTGCTGCAAACCACTCTGTTTAATATGGTAACTCTTGCTTTTTATTTAGATTTTTATGTTATATTACTGCTATTTTATAATAGAAATAATAGTTTGGTCTTTTAGTGCTAACGTGATCATGGACTGATATAAGAGTGTTTTGTTCAGTATCAATACATGAATTGCATGTAATTGGTTGCTTTATTAGATTGAAACAAATTGAGAAGGATGATCCAAACAAATAGTGGATTGTTCAAATAAAGTAAATCGTTATGTTCATAATAAAATTAAACAAGATGCTGATGAGTTAAGGAAGGTCTGGGTTATCACTTTGAAAACCTCGGTAGCTCTAGCAACGCCTCGCACTTCGATAACAAGCTTAAAGATGAATATGAGTTTACCTTAATAAGGGTAAATGCAACACTAAACCAAGGTCAAATTGTTTCAAAACAACAAAGCACATGTAATAGACGAAGTGCTCGCTGAACATATAAACTACGGTGGCCATATTTAATTCAAAATCTTTGCGATATTTTTTAACGCAATTGTTAATACTCCTGTTGCTGACGGGGTCCCACTGAAAATGTAAAAGTTATGGAATTTTACTCTTTCAACCATTAGCATATACCCTAGGCTCCAAGAATATATGAGGTGCTTGTCTCAAAAGTGGTCAGCGTATTTTTAATTAGCTATTATAGTGGGGCCCTCTTTCCATTTTCTGACATAGGGGTGGCTTGACAAAATATTTTTTAAAAGTTCCTTTCCCTAGTCTATCGTGATGATGAATACATATTACTATATATAAATATCTGTAGTATCTTCAGAATTTTTTGGGCATTTGTGCGAATAACGGTTTTGAAGAATTAACCCTTTGAATCCTAAAAGTTGGTTAAAAAGCGGGGCTATACTACATATCTTAAAATTGTATGGGTAAAATAAAATATTTTGATTCTCTTTTTTAATTTCATTATAAACTTGGTTTAGTAAAGGATAAAATGCCATTGTATTTGTTTTTTCGGAAATCATTGATTTTTTCAGAAAAAATATCAAAATTTGCCATATTTTTCAGTATTTCACTATATTTCAAGAGCTCATGACATAAATGATTTTTTTTAAATAATTTACAAATAGATAATGTTAATCCAACATACACAGTTATATAATGTGCTAATCTACGTAAATGTTTATGCTTTTCTCAACTGGATATATATTGATTTAGAGGAATTAACCCTTTAAACACTTATATTTTTCTATTCAAACAATAGTTTTATATTGTAAATATCCAATGTTCATTTATCTTGATTTACAAAGTTGCAAATGACACATACATACATTTTACATGTTTCTGATTGTGTACTTCTATACTATTTTAACCCTTATGGCACCAATACTGATGAAAATGTTTTCATGTGTTATTGTGGCAATTGCATTCAGTTGTAAGCTTCATTTATACTGTTTCATATATACTTTTTTGACTACGGATTATGTGCTTCTGCACTATTTTAACCCCTTGAACACTAATTCTGATAAAATATTTTCTTGCATTATTCTAGCTATTCAAACAATTGTATTCAATTGTAAAAATCCAATGTTCATTTATCTTCATTTACAATGTTGCACATACAGATTTTATCATTTCTAGACACTGATTATTTGTTTCTTTTTTAACCCTTTTAGCACTAATACGGATAAAATTGTTTTCATGTGTTATTTTTTAGAAACAATTGTATTCAGTTGTAAACATCCAATGTCCATTAAGCTTCGTTTACATTGTTGCATATACAGGGTGTTCAGGAAATAACGATAATAATGTCATAACTTTTTTATTTATTCATGGATTGCATTGAAAGTTTCAGAGATTATAGTTTTAACATATTTTAACTTATTGTTGGAGTTTCAGCTCCAGGCGATTTGATTGGTTGATTCTGTGGTTGTCATAGAAACGCGAGTAGCGCTAAGGCGGGGCAGGTGGAATAACTGCAGTATATTTGCATGTTTTAAATGTTTTTAAAAGAGATTCTATCATGTTCATGACTTAAAATGGATGCTTAAACATAGTTATAATATAAGTTATAACTATACGCCTGAAATTCGCCGCCAATTTATCAATTTGTCTACATAATTTCCCCCATTCTAGACACAAACGCTTTGCCTCTTGAACCTCCTTCAAAAACTTCACAGAATTCTTCTTGACTCATTTCCTGAAGTCTTTTTAACACATGCGAATGTATGGCATGAGTATTTTCAAATGCATGTCCTCGTTTTGATTCAGCAAAGAATTATAAATCATTTGGCTCTAGGTTGGTTGAATAAGGTGGATGCTTGAGTTGCTCTAATCTTCTCAATTTCTCAATTTTTTTTCTCAGCTTCTCAATTTTTTAGTGATTATGGCAGCAGTATGGGAGGGGGAATTGTCCAAGTGGAAGAAAAATTGCATCCCGGGTCACTTTCTATGCAATGCCTGCATTTAGTCATGAAAATCCCATTGAATATCATTAAAAAAGCATTTATTTGACTTTTATATCATAAAACAAAACAATATAAGAATTTTATCATGGAGATGCACCAAGAAAGCTTTAAATATTGAGTCAAAATCAGTTTGCCATGCTAAATGTTACACAAAACTACTGCAGTTATTCCATGTGCCCCGCCTTAGCACTACTCGCGTTACTATGCCAACCACAGAAATGACAAATCAAATCGCTTGAAGCCGAAACTCCACAAGTAAGTTTAAATATGTTTAAACTATAATCCCTGCAAATTTTATTGAAATCCATGAATAAATAAAAAAGTTATGACATTATTATCTTTATTTCCTGAACATCCTGTATACATTTTATAATTTCTAGACTACGGATCGTATGCTTTTGTACTACTTTAACTCTTTGAACAATAATGCAGATGAAAATGTTTTCATGTGTTATTCTATTCAAACAATTATATTCAGTTGTAAACATCCAATGTCCATTTATCTTTATTTACAATGTTGCACATTTCCCCCCCCCCCGAATAAGCCACCTGGTGACAAAACTGGTAACTACCTACTCGCATCTGAGTAATTGCTTGAATAGAATAATAGATAAAAAATCATTTGTATTTAGTGTTCAAATTTAAAGATCTAATAGCAAAGGTTTTGCAAAAATGAATCAATATAGTTTAAAAGAAATGTACATATAATGAAGAATAAATACATAATGAAAAATAGGATATGTGTTTGTAATATTGGTATAACTTAAGATTAAAAAGTGTCACTATCTCTTTCATTTTTCAACAAATATACACTCACGTGACATGTGACGCGGGGCAGGCAATTTTGATCTATCGTAGACCATATCAGTATCAAATTGCCGATATTTCAACCTCGTCTTGCAAAGCCATTTCGATTTGAAACATCTTGAGAGAAAAAACTTCTGCCTAAAATAGTTTCGGGCCCCTAAAACCCAAAAGTGGGCCCAAATTTTGACATTCTGAGCGGCATTTTCTTCAAAATTAGGCCTGAAATTAAAAAATAAGGCCTTAAAAGGCCCAGTAATGACCAAAGGCCCACTTTTTGGGGCCTTCAGGCCTTTTTTGGTACAACATTTTTTGGGCCCAATTTTTTTTCTGGGCCCACCCAGGGGGGGGGGGGGAGGGGGCATGCCCGCGCCCCCCCCCCCCCCTGGATCCACCACTGAGCCCTGTAAACTTAAAACTGAAATGGGCATTTTAGAGAAAGTTTCAACATACATATATGTATGTTTATAAAATAAATAAAAAAACATAATGTTTAAATATGAAGCCTTACGGATGAGGTTATTTGTCAACTAAATTACACAAAAGAAACTATTTTTGGCAGTTAAAACTAACTTAACCCTAGCCATTAAATTATGTCTATATAAAAAAGTGACATATTTTCCAAATCAAAAAGAAAAGTTCAAGGATGTTGTTAACTCAAAATAACACTATATTTAACAACCTAAATTACGCAGTTTGGAATATGATGATCTTATTTAGGCAAAGCAATGATAATGACATTGAATAT